CATCCCTACTCCGTATCCCATTACCATTCAGTCCCTCCAGGCTTCCTAAAAATAAATACATACCACCAGGGCTCGCCGAGCCGTGGCAAGCCCCACTTGCCAGCCGCGTGTTTCGGCATTCTGCGCGTGCACATATCGTTCTGCACATGTGCAGATCGCTCGGAGCTGGCTCTTCCAGGATGTAATCTTCTCGCCACAGGCGAATAGATTACATTGTTTGTCGAGCCCTGCATATCCCCATCATCCCTTTGTTGTTAAGCTTGATTCCATTCTTCATTGTCCCACAAAAGACTCAATAGTTATAATCTAAAATGTGCTGGTACTATTATAATAATAAGGGCCCTTTAGAAAAATCATGACACAGAGCAACTGATCTTTCTGAGTTATAGGAGAGATGTATTGACCTCATTTTCACAACTTGGGTTGCTGCATAACCTGAGAGTAGAGAGAGGGGTGAGGAATGTGGCTGATGAATTGAAATAAAAATTGTGTATTGCCCAAGAGGTGATATGTAAGTGGAATGTTTCCATATGATGAGTGGGTGAGTGTTGCAAAGTGTTGGTCTCATTATTGTATAGCACAGAAAGTATGTGTATTGCTCTTTGTGCTTTATGTAAGTCATCCATATGTGGTCATGCTATTTGTGTGGTGAGGAAACTTGGATAAAATAAGGCCTTTTTGAAATGCAGAATCAAAAGCTACGCACCAGAACTCGTCAGCTGTCTTACACGCAAGTGGAGGAGAGGAAACTGAGCTGTAGACTGGCAAATGGACTGGTGTTTTGTTTGTTTTGTTTTGTTAAAGTTACGTTTCTAGTTAAATGATACATATTCTAGGGATGTTAAATATTGGTTAATTGAATAGTCGAGTAACCTCATGACATTTTATCAGTTAGTCGACTATTTTATAGTCCCTGGGGGTGGGGCTGGCAGCCACTGTATCAGAGGCAGCAGTGCAGGGTGTCGGGCAGGAGCTGGTCCGCGAGGGGACCAAGTTTAAAAACCAGCTTCCCTCACAGACCGGCTGCCTGTCACCGTGTGCTGCTGCTTCTGAGAGAGAGGCAGCAGCGCAGGGTGGAAGCAGTCCCTGTCTAGGGGGTTCTGAGTTCCCGGACCTGGCACAAGCCAGAACTGAGCTGGGCTGCCTGCCGGTCTGGCTTTTAATATACTTTAAGTGGAGAGCCGCAGCAGGGGTAGGTCCTGAACCCATCGCAAGCCCAGACTAGGCCAGGCTGCTGGCCAGCCTGCTAAAATGTATTGGCAGGGAGAGGTAAATGCGTCTAGTCTATAGCATTAACCTATAACCTTTTGCTTATCGGTTAATCATCTATACTATTACATCCCTAAAATATTCCATGGTTTAAGTTAATATACAGAGAGTATCATGTAATTATGAGAGACAGAGTGACAGATCTCGCATGCTAAATAGCAGTTCTAACTCAGCAAAGCACTTAAGCATGTACAAAAGTGTCATTGATGTCAATGGGATTATGCTTATACAAAAAGCAATGCACCTCTCCGAGTGCCTGTCTGAATCTGGACAACATGGGGGAGGCAGAATTTAATTGTTGTAAAGACATTTAAGCTTAGGATGACCATAACCACTTGGATAAACTATTTATGGACAGATCTATCTATTGTAATGTGTTCACCATATGTTTCATCTCAGGTCGCAAGCAATGATGCTGTACCAGCCATACATAAAAATGCATTGTGCCATCAGGTCCCGCAGCTTGAATTCTAAAGTAGAAACCCATTATCTAGCTCTCTGTCTGTGGTAATTGCTGTCAGCCTAGAGATTTTTAAGGGATGTGTGTTATAAAAATGTCCCTTTTACATCATAGACTTCTAAAGAGAGGTTGAAACTGCAAGCATCCGTAACAAACTGACCTAGCCTGCTGTTGAACTCTGCTGCTACTTGCCTAACTCGGGGGGGAGATGACCCCCAGAGCAGAGGGAGAGAGAAAACCACAGATTCTCTCTGCCATTTTCATTGGAATGGTGCCCATTCCTACACTGAACCTCTTGCCATGTTTCTTGGAATACTGCTCATTTATGTTCTGCTTTGATTGATGCAACAGTAACGAAGGCTGAAAACGTGTATTTTTATCTGTGTCTGAATTTGGGTGTCAAGAGGTGGGTTGTAAGCACATACCACAATACCACAGTGGTGGTAATGTAATACGTGGGCCTACAGCCTGCTCGTAGATTGCCATGCATTCGTATCTTCATTGTCAGTGAGTTACTGCACACCACAATGGGTGGTCTCAAATTGGGATATGAAAGGTGATGCTTACCAGTTCTGGTTAACCGGTGGGGACTGGAGCAGCTACCTGCCCTGCCGCAAGGAGGGTGCCCCAGCCTATTTGGAGGAATCCCTGTCTGTAGCAGACCCTGGCGTGTGCCGCAGGAAGGGGTGAACTCTGGACGCCTCCCCCCCCCCATTGGTTAAACACTAAATTTAATTGGTTAACCATTTCAATGGGATTTTATATCCCTACTCCCAAATCTTCCTGCTTGTGACACAGGTTTGGCAGTGAGATGTGTTTTCAGATATGCACAGTCATTGTTCCGTCAGTGTCCCAGTTGTGTTGGTTTGGGATAGCCTTGATCTATTTGCCAGATGCAGCATGGGCTTTTCAAATATTTTTACTCTTTAATTTGCAGAGCCTGTTACATTTAGTCAGGGTGTCTGAAGAGCACATAGGTTTGTTCCACAAAATCAGTGGCATAGGATTGTTCCATAATGGATTATACCCGTTGTGGTGAGTCTTTTCCCCCACACGCTACAAATGACTCTGTTGTGCACACTCAGGTCAGAGGTGGTGCCACTCCTATGCCAAACCAGCCTTCATCATGTTCACGCTCATGAAGAGGTCAAGGCCCAAAGAAAGCTTCCTGGATCGCAGTGTTTTGTAGGTTGTTGCATATAGCCGAGTAATGTAGCAGGTGTCACACCTAGCCTTTTAGCAGGGAAATGCTCTCTAAACTATGAATGCAGATATAACTATTATTTTTAATTACTATTTGATCAACTGAGGATTAATCTCCCTGACTCGAAGCTGCAAAAAGCTATATGTGTAGATGTGCTGGATGTTTTTTTCCCCCAAGTTTGGTTTTTGTAAGATCTCAGTGAAAGAAAATCATTTATGTTTACATTGATGTAACTTTGATTTTTCTCTTACTCCTTTATTCCTCACTGTCTAGCTGTGAATTCTGGGTTCAGATGAATCAGAAATTCACCCCCATTTATCCAGTTTTAGGGTTAAGCCACTGACTATGACATGACTCCTACTCTGACCCAGACCTCAACCTGGGTGGATCAGAAGCTTTGTCAGACTTTCAGTGGCTGTGTATGGAGTGCCAGGCGTGCTACAAAATTGCTCACGAGGTTCTGTTAATGTATACACAGTCTCATTAATTTTAGAAGCAAGGTGATTCAGTATGCACATCTCTATACAACTTATTACAGCCTCTTCCCGACTTACGAACTGGTTACGGACCAAGCAATTGGTCGTAACTTGGTTTGTTTGCAAGTCGGATCCCATAGAGTTACACGCGACCGTGCTATTTGTAGGCACGGATTGCATTTGTAACTCGGTGTCCGCCATTTACGACAACTTCGGTCGTAATTGCGAACGGTCTTAAGTCGACTGTTCACAACTCAGGGACTGGCTTGGTCTTAAGTCGACTGTTCACAACTCGGGGACCGGCTATATACAGATAATGAAGATTTTTTTTTAATGAATGCTTGCATGGCTCATAGTGGAAAGTGCAGGTTTTTAGTCTTTTAAAGATTCTGACCCTAAAAAGCCACTTTGATTTTAATGTACAGAAACAGTAAATTTATCCAGGCCCTGGTTTAACTCCACGGACTTCCAAACTGAGTTTGACCCAAGTGTGTCTAGCGTTTGACCTCTAGCTAGTTCTGTGGGAAAGGTCTGTTTTTAAAATTAACATTAAAACACAAAAAACATGGTTATAGTCAGGGAGACTCAGAAATCCTTAAAAGTGACAGCTTTGGAGTGAGTGTCAAGTACTTTAGGGAATGGGTGACATTCATTCATTCATAGATTCATAATCTTAAAATCATAGGATTGGAAAAGACCTCAGGAGGTCATCGAGTCCAACCCTCTGCCCAAAGCAGGACCAATCCCAACTAAATCATCCCAGCCAGGGCTTTGTCAAGCCAGGACTTAAAAACCTCTAGGGATAAAGATTCTACTTCCTCCCCAAGTAACCCATTTCAGTGCTTCACCACCTTCCTGGTAAAATAGTTTTTCCTATTATCCAAACTAGACCTCCCCCATATCCAACCTAGATCGTACACTACCCCAGTGGTAGAATTGGTCACTTCATTAATGAAACGTTTCAAGTGTTGAAAATTTGGTTTTAGGATTGTGTCTTGAATATAGAAAAGGAACTTCTTAATTGTTTTGCTAGAGCATATCTACAGGCTGAGACCAATGACAAAACTCCTCTTGACATTAATAGAAGTAGGCCTGGGGAATAAAAGGGGGAAATAGGATCTAATTCTCTTTTATCTTCACTCCAGTTGTAATTTCATTTACTTCATGGGATTAGTCTTGATTTACACCAGTGAAAATAGAATTAGGCCTGTGGCATCGTAGAGTGATTGCACTTTAAACTCACAGATTAGATTTTTTTTTTCCTTGCTGCCTTAAATAATAGGAGATGATCTCTTACTAGACAGACAGTGCTTTGTTTTACACTGTAGGTGCTTTCCTATGCTGTTGTGACTTGGTCTGATGAGGAAACCACTGAATCCCCCTAAAGCAATCAAACCTTAAACTACATACTCGCAAGGACTACGTGTTAAGTGCATGATCTATAATGTACTGCTGTAAGAATACACTTGGCTCTGTGAGTTTCCAAGATGATACTAAATATCCATCCGAATAAAGGTGTCTTAGTGCCATCGGGAATTAAGTAGCTTTTAATATCCTGGGAATATCATTTGCTTATCTTGTGTCATGGCAGATGTACCGGAAGAATGTTCAGCAAATCATCCAGAGCCTGATCCGAAAACTTGCCTCTCTTAGCCAATACGAGGAAGTAATTGCAAAAATCAATGCAACATCCACAGATCGACTGACAGTCTTGAAGACCAAACCTCAGTCCATACAGAGGGACATAATCACTGTCTGCAATGATCCTTACATGTTAGCCCAGCAGCTGACTCACATAGAGCTGGTAAGTTGTTGCCAGGACATTCATATATTGTATTTTCCAGACACAATTTTATTCTTCCCACTTTTTGCTTCTTGTTGAAATACAAATCGGCAAAGGAAATGATAGCTTGTTTTAATTTTTTTTATATGTAGGAAAGGCTCAATTACATTGGACCGGAAGAATTTGTCCAGGCGTTTGTGCAAAAGGATCCTTTGGACAATGACAAGGTGAATGGAGGGGAAACTAGAATGGTATCTTGTACTATAAATGCTGTACAGAATTGATAGAATACTCTTAACTCTGTAAAGGTATCCGCACAAGTATGCTTGATAGCTGAACTCTTAAAATATCTCCTTTCTGATTTTATTTTATTGTCCATTTAGAGGACAAATTTTATTATCCATTTAGAAGACAAGCCCAGGCCCTGTTCTGTCTTTGCTCATGCAAGCAAACTCCCATTTGCTTAGATGATGTCAGTGGCGTTTTGCTGATTTTTTACACCAGCTGAGTGTCTAGCCCTGGAAATAGTTTCTCTTGACCATCCATTCTGTGGTTTATAGTGAAGATGAAATGAATTTCAACCTTCACGACACTCACTTTCCCCATCCATTATTCCCCTCCTGTCCTTTTAGGAAATTGAGCTATTTGAAAGAAAGTGAGGACAGGCCAATTGCGGTCCTTTTCACAGGTACAGTACGAGGCGTACTGAAGAGAATTCTGAATTGTTGAATGAAGAGCAAAGGCAATCTGTGCTTTTAACTAATTGTGCTGGAGCTGTTATCTCTTTTGCTCACGTTCCGGAGATGCTTATGATCCGCATGTTGACCGAGCCCAAATCATGTAGTTCATACTGTAATTACCTGTTCTCCTGAAATGTGGCAAACAGAACATAATGGCTTACATCCAGCTGGGATTCTGAAATGCTTGTCTGTAGGTAATGAAAATCTCTCCACCCACTGATACTCCGACACCCTGGGATGAATTGTAGGAACTGTTTCAGTGCACTGCGCAAGAGCACAGAATAGGAAAGGAAGAATATGACTCCAACTGAAATTGAGAGACTTTTAAGAAGGCAGAATGGAATGTGCTAGATGGGCCTAGAACTGACATGCCAAATGAGTGGTCAGGACCAGCGGTCATGTCAGTGCATTGCTCCAGCAAGAAAGTGCCAGCTGGCTGGGTCCCTCGACTGCAGGAGGAGGTGTGGTGCATTCCCAAAGCTTCCTGCTAAGCAGCAGGCAGGCAGGTTAAAGAGGCCGGCTGGGGGTGCGTTCCCCACACTGGTCTGGGACTGCCCCAGTCGCGAGCCTTCCCTCCCTCACACACACCCCAACCCTGGAGAAGGGAGGGGATGGGGCAGAGGTGTCAGTGACCCATGCTGTGAGCTTCCCCCTCAGTCCCTGAGAGTGACAAAAGGGAACAGCAGGCAGCCTCCCAGT